TTAAATGTTTTATTATTATTACGGCAGCAACCAATGATTACTTTTATTACCTAATCTGCCGATTCTTTTTTCAATCGTTTAGTCCATCGAATGTGAAGAAAGCCCATCACAGTTTCCCAAATCCCAAATCTTCAAATTGCTTATTTTGTTCGACCAAAATTTAAACACGTATAACTGACTAACAAAGAAAATCTTTAATATTCACTTCTCAGTATAAGTATAAGTATTGGTATTTTTTATTGAAAATGTATTTGAATGATCAATAGATTAATTCCAATGCATTTTCTGACAATCAACTAATCAATAAATTGACTAATTGTTTCAGCTCTGATAATTCTATACATATGATTTAAGATTCATATTATTGCGATGTAGTGACTTTGCATGGGAGTGGACGACTCTGACTGGCTGAAATCTGATTATGACTAAAAGGTCACAATCTACACACCTCTCTGTGTTTTTGTGTGCTTTTGACCTGTTACGTGTGTGTCAGTTGTCAGAAGTGCAACATATTCTGGTTGGATTGAGAAAGTGTTGATCCATGTGTAGCAGGCAGGTAGAGATCAGAAGCACTGCATTGTTGTAGAGCTGATAGGACTGACACGTGAGAGCTTTTAATCACGCTCTGTGTTTGATACATCAGTTCATTTCTATTCTGAGGTGACATTTTATTATTCGCTCAGTGGTAACCTCATTAATGCTGATGGTTGTGTGGAAGAAGTCCGGCTGCTTCAGTCGTTGTTGATGACAGATAGCGGTTGTAAAGAATATCAGACACAAAAGGAAAAAGAGTTTGAGATTCTAACACGAGCTTCAGACAGCAGCATCCCAGTCAGTTTACAGGCGGTGAAATCAGATGTCACAGTGAACAATTATTGTCATAATATTTCCAATCAGCAGACGCAGACTGCGTGGAAACTACTGCTGTCAAAATATCTGACATGTGAAATATTGTGACACTTAGGGAGTAATAGGAAATCTACGGAAAATTAAGAATTAAAGCAGAAAATTCTTCACATTTACAGCATGGCATTTGGTTGGCTTTTTAAAACATAATTTATTTCATTCACTGCTGAAATCCTTTATTTCTTTTATTTTCCACGCTCAAAGTGAATCTCTGCTCATTTAAAACTTTTGAATTAAGCAAAAGCAGTTTTATTTTTCACTAAAACCCTATGAAATCATTCACAGCAACTAGTGATGCTCACTCCCTTCACTCTACAACTGTCCTCTCATACCAGCTGATATTTTACCATCAAAGCGAACCCTTTCTTTCTACTCTCTTCATTATAAAAAATATAGAGTGTGAATTCCTAAATTGTTTTGCTGTAAATGTCCTGTATAATGACATTGGCCTGCCTCTGCTGGATTTACAGCCTCTAACACCAGTGCAGCAGCAGCAGCAGCAGCAGCAGCAGCATGAGCCTTATATGCTGAGAATACACCAAGGCCTCCCAGTCTACAGGGACATGTGTGTACAGCTGAGGTAATAGGTAGAAGAGCCAAAGACTGCCCCCTGTTGGTTACCTTTGTGAAGTGTCCAGCTGTTGGAGGTTCAGATTTGGTGACTAGACAAATGATGGAAAATATGAAACAAATGATTTCTTAGAATATATGCTATCCAAAAGTCAGATGTATGCTTGGGTTTTTTCGATGACTGCATGTGCACGCACATGTCTCTGTGTTAGAAAGGAAGAGTGTGGCATACAGCGTTAATCCAATCCAGAGCAGAAAGTGAGAGTGTCCATCTTTGTGAAGTTTTATGTGGTCTGTCTTCTCCTTCATTTCCCTCATTCTTCTCTTTCTTTTTTCTCTCAATTGGAATATATAAACCACTGCTGATATACATTTATTTTACATACATACATACAATTCTGAAGTGATATTATTGCTTATTTCTTCATGGCAGTTCACTTTTTGATGGGTATTTCATATTTCAAGGGCAGCAAGGAGAGTTTGAGATAACACTGAGTATTTCAATTCCTTGTTTTAATAGTGTCCCGTATGTATGAAAGAAAAGACAATAAATTTGAATATTCATCGCTTTTTACAGTGATGTACAAGCACTTTCTTCTTGAACCTTTATTTTCATCATCATCGTTCCCATAGCAGTGACCCCCACGACCCCTGGGATGCCTGTCCACTTCGTCCCATCAATCAGATGTGACAGCTGTCAATCAATCACTCTGGCCAACAGCGATGCTGCTTCAGCTATCCAGCAAGTTTGTCTTGCATGTCACCCTTCCTTACTCAGTGTCTACACACACACACACACCCACACACACACACAGATACACTGCGTCCACACTGTATGTTTGTTTTCTACCTCTCAGGCTCTGCAGGCCCGGCGCTGTGTGCTTATTTGCAGTGCTGCTGCTGTTTTCTCGATGCGTGGGCTAGTGTGACAGATCTGGGTCTCTACTGATGTACTACTTGGCTAGCTGGGGCTGGTTCCTGGCCATTACCAGCACATAGTGAATACTTGCAGAGAGTGAAATGAGATTGCTAAATCAATGGCAATGAGCTGTCATTTACCTGGATGCAAAGTTTAGCATTTGCCTTGTCAGTACAGATGCACTTTAATCTATTTGCTTTCCATAGCTGTGAAAACCCACTTCTTAAGGATTTTCTGTGTTTGTGCACAGTTGGGGGAATTCTGCACCTATCTTCTATGTGTGCATGTGTATAGGCGTGTGAGCCTTTTGTCTGCCTGCTCTCACCGTCAGAGCATGTTAATATTAGCGCCTCGCAGAAGACTGACTCTATCTGGACACAAAGCAGGTGATAAATGAAGATAGGTGTGTCAACAGGGACCATTTACTGTCCTGTCCTTTCCCTATTACAATACTGTACAAGCACTATGTAATGTTAAAAACCCTTCTAGGGACGGGCATTGGAAATTAGCAGTAGCTATAAATGCTGTGATGCATCTGTCCCTATCAAATAGATTTGAAAAAAATTAAATAAAATTAACAGTGTCAGTGTTTTTCGCAGGAGGGGGGTGTAAATCCAGATGCGTGGTTTTCTCCGGCAACTGCGGCTGTATAGTGATAGAAAAACGGCACAATGCACCGTCTGCCAGACAGCAGTCAAAGAGGATTGGAGATTAGCTGGGGTGCAGACACAGTCGGTCGATCAGTCACTCAGAGAGGGAGGGAGCAGAAGAAAAGCAAGAGGGCAGTGTCGTCCCGGGGATTTTTCTTTTTACCCCCCTTCCCAGTCTTTCTGGGCCCCGTCACTGATTTGAGCCTACAGTCAGTTGTACGTCGCCTCTCTCCTTCTCTACTCCATCTGTCCCTCCCCCTATCATCTCTCCTTCTTCCCTCCCTCTCTCTCACTCTCACTCTCTCTCTCTCTCTCTCTCTCTCTCTCTCTCTCTCTCTCTCTCCATACCAAAGCCTGGGGGAGCCAGTGGAGATTAAATGTAGCCTCTATAAGCCAAAGCACATCATGTAGCAATGTTTCTATGGTCCCTTCTCTCCCACTCACTCTCTCTAACTGTCTCTCTCTGTCTCTCTGTCTGTCTGTCTGTCTGTCTGTCTGTCTGTCTGTCTGTCTGTCTGTCCGTCCGTCCGTCCTTCCTTTTTTGAAGTGAGACACAGAATAAGAGAACGAAGGAAAGGGAAAGAGAGGACTGGAAAAGCGGATTTTTGTTTTTTGCATGCATGCAGAAAAGGATTTGTTTTATGGGTGGAAAACGGACAACGGCAAGGTGGAAAAAAACAACGAAAGGAGGACTACTTTCTCTCAACCTCCTCCCCACACACTCCTCACCTCTCTCTCTCTGATACAGAGGAAAAGTGGGCCTCTGGCTGTAAGCGATTACAGCTGTGAGGCAAATTAATGGATGATATTTCTCTCCCCCTTTTTCCTTTTTAAAAAAACCCCCACACGGGACCAAAAAAAAAGAGCCAGAGGGGGGAATAGAAAGAGTAAGAGAAAGATTGAGAAAAAGAGGTAGAGGACTGATATTGGGGAGCCGGAGAGTGGGGAGGAGGGGTAGTTATGTTTTTTTCCCCCGTCTTCCCTCCTTTCCAGCTCTGCATGTGATTGAAAGAGAGAGAAAACAATGCGAGGGAAAAGGGCGAGGAAGAGAGAAAGCGGAGCGAGACAAGAGATCAGCAGGCGCATTGGTTTTGTCCTTTAAGTTGGAGTTGTGAGTGTGTGTGTGTGTGTGTGTGTGAGAAAGTGTGTGTGCATTTTTTCCCTTGCCAGCCTGCCTTGGACCTGCAGGTTTGCACAAAACAGTAAGTAGAGGCTCGGGTGCGAGGAAAGGTAAATGAGTGTGGTTTTGTGTAGGCAATGCAGTGCATGAATGTGTATGTGTGTGTATGTGTGTGTGTGTGTGTGTGTGTGTGCGCACCCCCCCTCCCTCCCTTCAGTGAGGCAGCATACTGGCATGCTTCACTGGCACTGTGGCCCTGGCTGCAAGCACTGAATCCGTAGCTCGATGCTCGCTCTTTTATTTTACCTCTTACCTCTTTTCATTTTCTCACTCTCTCTCTCTCTCTCTCTCTCTGTGTCTCTCACTCACTCGCTCACTATGTCCCGCTCACTTTCCCTCACTGTCTACCTGTTCCGTCTAACCTTTAAGTTTCCTTTCAGCATTTTGTTTTCTGGGAAGAGGAATCGACTCTCTCGCGACTCTCCTCCCCAGACTGCTTACGCTTGCTCTGTGTGTTGGTGTGTGTGTGTGTGTGTGTGTGAGAGAGAGAGAGCGAAGAGATAGAGGGAGAGAGAGTGTGCACATGGTTCATTCCGGCTCAGTCCTACCACCCATCCTCATGCCTCTTTTTCTTGTCTCCGTCCATTGCTCTCTTGCCGTTTATTTCGACTTCGAGCAGCACGCCGGAGGGACGGGCCGCTTCGTGCCGCAGCTTTTTTGTGAAAAAATTTTTTTCTTCTTCTGAACATAACTGGAATCATGTTGCCGTGCTGTACGTTTAAATCTGAGCTTTCTCTTTCCCTCTCTGTCTCTTTTTTCTTCCCCTCCCAAGCAGGAAGCGACTTAGAAGAACAACGAGCAAGGGGGCATCCTGGATCCGAAGGGGAGGGTGAGTCGATACCAACGAGTACTCTTCCTCTCCACTTCCCTCTCTGCTCCCCATCTGTTTCCTAAGCTTTAGACCACCATGGTGGCATGAAGGAGCCGTAGAGCTTTATTATCTGGCTCGTCCTTTCTCTGTGCAGCCTCTCCGGAGACCACGCTGAGCGGGGATTTGCAATGATCGAGCGTGCATTGAATGATTTTATTAACAGTGAAAGACATGACAGTCGGATGAGCATGCAAGTCATCACGACAGAGGGATTGTTTGACGCTGTGCGGTCCTAGCCTCAGATTTCGACGCTGTAATTAATGCATCTACAGAGGGTTTTTGTCTTGGACATCCGCAGCAGTGATTTTGATTTTCCCTGAAACGGCGGGGGATCTTTAGGCGTACTGTACAGCAGCAGGCTCTGTACCTGATGGCAGGAGGCATTTTTCAAAGTGCTGTATTGTTCGGCTGAGGTGGGGGAGGGGGAGAAAGAGAAAGAGAGAGAGAGAGTTGGGGGGGGCTGGCCAATGTTGTGTCTGGCTGAGGCTTGCACTTGTTGTATGTTCACAAATACAGTGGAGGTTGCAATGAGTGAGTTCAATTAATGCATGTCATTTAGGAGTGTGTGTTTGATGCATAGCTACATGTGTGTAACCGGAAGAGCTCGCTCTATATGCAGGAGATGCTCAGACGTCCTCATCTGACTTAAAGACGAGTTCAGTACATTCTTTTTTGTCTAACATCATTGTAGTAAACAAAGGAAAAGCCAAAATCCTGAATGCTGAGGGCTGAAAGCAGCTGTGTGAGGAGGTAGAGGAGTCCGTGTGAAGATGTATCTCTCTCCGTCCCTGAGACCCTAACTTGTGACGTTGTGCTTTCATGTCCACGGGTTAGGCTCTCGGGAGCTGAGAGGGATGCACGGCCAGCACTATTTCCAGCGCGCTCCTGCCTCAAACAATGGCAATCAGAGGGGGAAGACCATGGCGCAGTGAGCTAAGGCGTTCACCGCACGCTCACTGTCACACACCTTGCAGTTGGGCTCACACCCTCCTGTGTGTTACATGTTACCTGGGCTTATCTGATTTCTGTCTGCTGCACTGTGCAACATCGCATACGATGAAATGTGGATCACGTCCGGACTGGTGTATACTGGTGAAATCTCTATGGTTGGGAGGAGGGGGATGTAGTGGCATGGATGCTGTTGCAAGGGTCATGTGACATGTGAGCTGAGGCGTGTAAAAGGATGACAGGAAGCTGTCCATGTGATGCTACTCACACATATAAAGCAGTTATTGTAGTGTTTTGATCCAATTTCACACAAGTAAGACACATTAATGAGTAGTTTTATTGTTTCATGGTCTGAATGCTGTTTTAAATGACTTCCCACCTCAGAGGAAAAACATTCTCTGGCAAATATCTGCTGTTTTAAGCAGCTAAGCATTTTTTTTTAGCAATCCAGTAGCATAACAACAAGCACAAGGTATCTTTATAAACGAGCTTTAGGTGGAATGCTAATTGGATACCAATGCTTATTGGCATCCTAAGCCAGGCATTGTTTCTAGTGCTAGTAAAGAAATAGCTAAACAGCTGATTAGCATCAGTAGCTTATAAGAGATAATGCTAATGCTGCTGTGATAGCATTAACCTCTTCATATGCCAGTAGATACAGTTAAGTAATGAAACATCTGTCAGATTAATAGCTCTCTGTTTCTCCAGCAGGCTGGCTGTGTGTGTGTTTCTTTATGACTTGAGAGCAGCACAGAGTAATGTTGAGAGCGTGACAATGACAGCTCTGTACATTACGTGCTTGACCTCAGTGAACCCTCTGCGATGTTAACACAAATGTAAAGGTGGCGGTAAGAACACACTCACCGTGCAGCTAGTGATGTCCACAGAGTCTGAGGTGCCCCTTTGCAGCCAGACCGCCGACCACGCCACTCTCCATGATTCATTTGTGAAGTGCTTCTGAATATGCAACTGCTGATCTGATCCTGGTGTCGAGCTGCAACCAGAGTGGCAGCACACTTTGTCGTCGATAGTAACAACAGTCCCACTCGCTGACTTTGAATTCAGTTGGTCATAGTAGCAAAGTAGCACATGGCGGCTCTTCAGGGCACACATCCATTTTCGTTTGAGCCATGGCTGGTTGTCATCCTACCTTGCACTTTAGACTTTGTTCTCAGGAGGCCTTTGCTGAAATTTGCAGCGTATACTTAACAGCAACTCTTTTTTCAGCATGATTCCTTGATATTTTGACTTAGGCCCATTACACTGTAGCTAGTATCTGTTTTTAATGGGACATAGCGTGATTATTGATGATTAATCATCTTTGTGGACGCTTTCCTTCCTTTAAATGGATGCTAAACCCCATGCACTTGTGGATCTCAGATTTTACAAAGAGGAAATTGTGCTGGGTAATACACACTAGATATGCCAATGTGTTTTTGGTTTGGAATCTTCCACAGGATGTTATCTTAGATATTATGATATGACATGGTAAGATTTAGTTATTCGAACAAGCTTGCATGAAGATGGCATTTCTGCCCATGTGCAACAGAGAAGGCCAGCATCTCAAATCATTGTGACCCTGAAGCTTCATATATTTTGATCAATAAATGCCTCTTTTTGGGATCACCAGAATGACGGTTTGCTTTTATTTGACCTTGAAAAGTATATTTATCATTTTCCCTGCTCCACTTCCATTTATTCAGCTGGCAACAGCTGGATATGATGTGCTGATGTCTTGAAAAATGTGCTTCATTCATTCGATCCTGTTGTTAATGAACTAATATGGATTATAACTTGAACTTTAATCTGATGCTTTAGCATTTCTCTTATATAACGCCTCTCTCAGCCCCATGTCTCTTTTTTTTCCCCGACCATCTCTCTGCCTCAAAATCGTTTTTTATTTGTTCAGCTCGGTGAACAAACACTAACCTGGAGCAGTTAGTGTCTAGCCGGTAAGCTCGAAAGGGGCTGCAGGCTTGCTCTCCATTGTTCGGCTGCTCCGCACACTGTCTGTACACTGTGTCCCCATGGCTGAGGCAGACATGGAGGATAGACAGACAGACATAGCGACTGGTGGGCATATACCCGCCTCGATAAGCTGCTTCACCGCCCCAATTTTGCCAGAATTTTTTACAGAAGGGATATGGGCCGATCAGTGTCGTCTACTCCGACATGATGCAGATGATTGTATCAGGGAAGCCTGTGAGCTGAATTCTGATCTGGTTCTGGTACGAACATTTCAGACAGATTAAACGAAAACTTGGGTCAAACTTAATCTTGTTCTTTGACTCAGCAGCTTCAGGTGTGTCAGTCGTTGAAACCTGTAATGACACCTGCCTTACCTGCCTGAGAGTTTTATGTCTCAGAGATTTACTAGTCTAGATTTCAGTTTCAGTTTTAGTCTCCCACAGTGGGCTAAATGCAGCGTTTGTGTTCGGGTATCAGTTGATTCTAAATACCAGTAGGCAGCTGTTGATTGATGTAATCCCTTTTAAGGTGGACCTTTGTTAAGGTAGACTGCGGAAGGTGCAGTGGACACCCAGTGGATAACTTAAATCTGGTCAAAAGGGAGTTTAGTGTGCTATAGTTCAAGTGTGGAGGGTATGTTGGATGGATTGCTGCAGGGTGACGCCCAAAGCGCCTTAGGAAAATCAGGACTCAGCTCGATATGGATCGAAATAAAAGTGAAATTATTGATAAGAGAGATTGATCGGCACGTTGAGAAAAAGTGGCGAATATGGCGACAGAGGACTAGCGATGAGCCTAGACGTCTCTTTGTGGCAGCAGGGGTGGTTCCTCTCCATGTTGAGTTTACAGTCACCATTCTGCAGTTTTCTTCTGCCACTCCCTTCAACACACAGCCTCGACTGGCCTCGCAGGCGGGAGAAGCACACTCATCAATAATCAGACCTTGTCAGCGCGCGTGTATGTGTCTCTCCGTCCTATGGTATCTGTCAGCATGTCTGTAATTTCTGTTTGTGTGTGTATGTGTGTGTTTAGCAGTTTTTCCCCACTGCAGAGGGGCTCACTACCCCTTCCCTCCAGTCTGTCGGTGAAACAAGATGGCGTCGCAGCTCCACGTGGGCCCTCCCGCGCTGGTTAATGCCCACTACCAATGGCACCAGATAGCTATGGAGGTAATTTTTTGAAATGTTGCACACCTGGGGTTTATCTACTTGCCACATAGCTCAAACTGCTGAGGCACTTCTTTACTGTACTGTACTGGAGCTTGGCTGACTTTTACAGATTTAGGATTTGGGGCAGATCCCGTGCTTCCATCGTTATTCTTGTTTTTTTCACTCAGTCTGTGTATCAGCTGCCAGACTGTATGCTGTTTTGTCTGCAATCTGGGCGGTTACAAATGTGCTGGTGGGATGGACGAGTACATTTTCAGCTTGATTTGTCTGTCTGTGTGTGTGTGTGTGTGTGTGTGTGTGTGTGTGTGTGTGTGTGACTCAGGCTAAATCCAGTTTAAAAAAGATTGGGGATTGTGCACAGCCACATCACACCAGCAGATTAACCAGACTACACAGTAACCTCATTAATCTGAGAGACTGATGTCACCAACAATGTGTCAGCTGTCACACACACACACACACACAAATGAACAAACACATGCATTTAAAAGTGTTTCCTTTGTCTCTACCTAATAGAAACCCAGGTACTGATGACTGGAGGCCGAGGCAGAGCCCATCTCCTCTTCCACAGTGTTGTCCTGCTCCATGTCATGGATTTAAAGACATGCTGGAAATCCCCAGATGAATCAACATTTAACACTTTGCTGCCACGTCAACCAAAAAGCTGCAAGCGTGTTTTTTTGGGGGGGATGTTTGAAGGAAAAGAGCTTAAGCATGTTGGCTGTGGTTAACTTTTTGGATAATTTTCTGCCTCAGCAGCCTTGATACCAGGAAGCTGTGCAGATGCGATCAGCTATTGTGAGTCTGCACAGAAAGATTTGATTTTGGGGTTTCAAGTTGGTTTCTCTTGTTTTTTATTTTTATTTTTTTTACAACTGAGCTGTGAAATGTTTTTGAAGGACTATATCTGTAATCTATTTGATGATGATGGGCACATCACGCTGCCGCTGGATCAGGACAAGATATTATTACACCAACAAATCACAGAATCACAGAATTTTAGACTTTGTCTTTATCTGAGTTCTTTACAAAGATGTTAAAACATTTAGATGCCTGCTCTCTGTTCATGAGAATCTTTGTGACAACATGACATTTTTATAACAAAATGTTGCCTTCTTGTTTGTCTGAAACTTACCACTGCAAAGATTAGTTGCAGTTGTTGCCAAAATATTGTTGTTTCCAGCTTCTCAGAATATGAGAACTCTATGTTTTTCTTTGTCATACATTATAGTGAACAGAATATCTTTGGGTTTTGGATTGTTGGTCAGACAAATCAAGACATTTGAAGATGTCACCTTGGACATTTTATAGACCAAATGATTAATCTAGATATTGATCTAGAATTGATCACTAAGGTAAATTATCATCAGTTGTAGCCCAACTTTTGTAAATGGAACAAAGGCAACATAATATACAGAATTTGTAGTAGTAGATAAAATGAACGTTTAGATCCCACACAGGGACATTGAAGTGTCACAGCAGTAAAAGGAATTAAAAGAACAGATGCACAGTAATCTTTAAAAAACTAGAATACTGCATACTATATACTGTCAAATAATATACTGTACAATATTGCAATCTGAGACACAATTATTGGATTGAATTTTTTAAGATCCTTGTCTCCTTAATTATTCAAGCACACATTTCTCATCTATTACTGTGTCTCATTAATTTGTCTTTCAGCTCTGCCTTTCTGTCTCTGTTCCCATTTTATTCTGTTTTCTATTCTCCAAATAAAATTCCAATCATTTGTTTTGATTGTGTGTGACATTGTGATATATTGTTCACCTCAGGGACACTGAATGTTAAGTGTTATCTTTATTATTTAAAGCAAATTGTCACTTGCATTGTTATTTCTATTCCAATGTTAACCACAAATGTATACTTGTGTTTTTAATGGAAGAATTCTATTTTTCACATTTTTTGTTTTGTCTCATAAAACACAATTTACAGCTGAGTGTGTGTGCTGACCAGAGATCCTTACCAGAGCTGAAGCGTCTTGCAAATGTAATATATGAAATGAATCTATATGCTATAAATATATAGTGTGAACATCTTGTAACATTTATGTGATGTGATTTAAGTACCGTTTTTGTTCTACAGTTGAATTCTATTTTGTATAGGCGTTATGAAGATCATGACTGTATTATATTTTACAACAACATAACTTATGATAATTCCACTTTTTCCCTTGTAATAAATATAGCAATGATGTAAGAGCAGGACAGTAAGCTTAGTGTTCTCTTCAGAAGCTTGGTATTAAAATAGAGACATCTTACGGTTGTGTCTAAATAAAGCCTTGAAGCTGTCGTTTAACATGATTGTCAATTCTTTCAACTGTCATGCTTATTAATAGAGCTCTGAATGATTTTTCTAAACAGGCGTAGTATGTTTTATATTTTATCTTTGGAGGTATTTTTGCAACTTTTTAAAGGCTTGAATCTGTTTCAATAAGATTAACTCTTTGGCGTGATTTTTATTTCTGCAGAGCTGCCAAGACATATTGCAACATCCTCTCTGCTGGCCACAAAGATATCGGACAGTAAATGGACAGAAACTGCTTTGTGATTCTCTCTCTTACAGCCCATTTGACCAGGTCACGACATGTGGAGGAATGGTCCAAGAACAGGAGACAGATTTGACAGGCACCCTGAAGCAAGCTTCAATTGCCCATACACACACATATACACATTTTTGTGGTATACAGGTTATCTTGGGTGGGACATATATATACTGTAGTTGTGTGGCTCCATTCTTTTCCAGACTCATTTAAATGTCTGTACTTTGTAATGCAAAAATATTTGATACTAATAAAACATTTATTAAAAATGTACTTGTTTTGTATTATTGTAATACTCTTGTACTGCTGTAAGGCTCTATGCTTACACTTTAGCATGTACACTTGATTCTAACACTTAAGCATACACTGTGCTAAATGAGATCAATGGTAGAACTTCAGCATGCTCTGTACTAAGTGATGGGTGGCTCCATGCTTGCATGTTAGCATGGAGTTAGCAACTGTATGCTAATTAATAGTAGGCATCACATTAACAATAAAAATATACAATGCTGTGCGATCATTATAAAATTAATATACGCTATTCTGAAAAATATTTCCTCATGGTGACATATAAGCATACATATTATTGAGTGAGTAAACATACATTATGATAGTACATTCCAAGCCAATATTTAGGTTACATTTTCACCATTCTGAGTAACATGGCTTCATGCTTACACATTAGTTGACATTAAGCTAATTCTATCATCTTGATAACATTATAACATTCCACCCTCACGTGTGCTGCAATGCTGCGGTCCATGGCATGCATTCAAGAAGTTGTTTAGCGATAAGGTGTCAACATTTTGTGGTGTCCACTTAACCTCAACCTTTCTCCTCTACGTCAGTGATTCACCACATTTCCCAGAATTACTTTCAATACTCTTAAGAGGTCTTGCCTGGACCTGCTACAGTCAGCTTTTGATTTTATATTGGTTTGAGTTTTCATGACAGGAACATGGGCACATACTCCAGGACTGAAAGGGGATTAGTAACTGCCACAAAGTTAGATTTTGTAACTTTAAAAAAACAGTCAAATAGAAATGTATCTGTTTCATTAGTGGTAATGTGGTAATTTTGTCTTTTTAGACATATAGAAATGATTTAATTATTGACTCCTTTTTCAAATTATATTCACATCAATATGTAATTTAGACGCCTGAATGTGTTGTGTGTTTTATGAAATTATTTGTAGTTTTTTGAATAAAGAAAGTATAAGAAATATATACTGATGCCTTTCTAGTACTGTCATTTCACTATGTATGCATTAAAAAATATCATTTTAAAACCAATATTAATTTATGCCATGTTAAAATGTTAATATGGAGAACTAGAATCACTTTACAATCAGAAATGATTTTGGTTCTGTTTGCTGATAATTACCAGGGAAGTCTCTCAAAGGGTCAATCTACATAAAAATATTGCCTTTCTTAGTAGTAGATTATCTTATCACCTATATCAATCATTCAAATTCAGTCATTTAAATTACATTCTCAGATTCAAAAAAATTAAAAAGGCTATCATGTTTACTACAAATTCGTATTTGATGGTGCAGACCATGCCCATTTATTATGTTCCTCTAACTTGAACTCTGGAATAAACTGTAGTCTGGAATAAACTGGATGCATACTCACATATATTCTGTCAGTTTGTCACTTTGATTTCCCAACCCTCTCACCTCAACCTGACTTCATTAACAGCAATCTTGTGAGTTGCCTCAGTGTGCGGTCGCCATGGATCTCTCTGGTTATAGAAAACAAACAGCACAGTGGAAATCGATCCTTATTTACAGATGTTAAAAGGATGCATTGATGCGCACTGCAATCCCACATTTTAAGGATGTCTAACTGTGAGTATTTTCCAGTTGTGTCAAATATAGAAGATGTGAGGCTTAATTTGAAATAGGTTTCACATCAAACATTATGTAAAGAGAAATGATTAAATATAGATTAACAGCTCGTTGGATGTATTTCTGATGGTTGTGACCATTGTTCATTTGACCAAGATGATTAGGATTTCTGCATACAATTCCCATACAAAACGCTGTAATCTGTAAAGAATGTCAGCCATAATTGTTGGAATACAAATGTAGACACACACAGTATACTGACAGCACACAGCTGAATCTCTATCTCATCTGACATGATTTTTTTCACTCATTCGCTGTCTCTCGCTCTCCCCTATGCCTCCATCGCTTGCTCGCTCTGCCTGTAAATCCATGCTTAGATTTGGCTCACACACAGTGGAGCTCTCTGCAGCTGTAAGTAGGCCAAAAGCCATCTGAGGACAGGGCTCAGAGAGAAAGAGGGAGAGACAGATCTAGGGAGGGAGGAATAGACAAGCGGGTTTGGGAAAATGACTGAATGAAGCTCATAGAAGACCTGAAGAAGGATATGGTTTTATTTAGCATCAATTACACTTTTAAATCCTATTTATCATTTGATTTGTGGGTCTTTTTTTAACTTATCTTTGGGATTACACAACACATTTAAAGGTCGTTGTCGTGAATAGACTGCGAACTACATGATAGGGCTATAATATAATATAATATAAGTTAACACTGATATTTTGTATCTTTAATTGTGACATTTTACTACACATTTAGACAATGACATGAAAGATGTACATTCTGCCCTGAAAACAGTAATGATGAAAACCCTTGAGATGGTTTAGGTCTGTTTAAAAATGTAAAGATGCATCTGAATCTGAAATCTGAATCTGAAAAATATACTTTATATACTTCACTATACTTGTGTGAAACTTGATCAACTAAACTGACTCATGTTTGTAGGGAAATAGTTCAATTATATTGGTGTATGCAGGATATTTATTACCCCTGCTTCTGTTGTTTAAATGTCAAAGTAGGCAAAATGGTTTTAGTTGCAGTACACAGCCGGTAAGAGATGCATTAAAATACAAAATGTCCAAACCCAGCCGGCACTCTTTATTGTAGCAGTAAATACTCCATTGTTTTAAGCCAACATCTTTACAAAACAGTACTTGTTTTTTTTCTTTATTACATGTTTGTGCCATATTTTCCAATATTAAAAAACTCTTGCTATAATGACTTTTTTTCATGCTTTTACTTTGCAGTATTGTAAAAAATATGTCTGTGTGCTTGAATGCACATGAATAAACTCATCTTGTCTTTGAATGGACATTGTTTTACAGGCTTTACATAAAAAATATATATATTTATTTGTTATTTTCTTATTATTCATACTTTGCAACACATCTTGGCTACATTCTCAAAATTTCTACCTCAGAAAGGTATGTAATTAATCACAAAGGAATCTGTCTTCATGTCTTAGTTGACAGCAGCAGTCAATCTATGTCAGGCCAGCACGCTATTCTTTACTTATCTTTACCTCCTAAACATTTCATAAATTTAGATACAATTTCTTTCATTATGGATTATTATATGATGGACTTTTCCCCTTTTGATTATATTTTGGTCAATATGCAATCAATAAATCTTTTGTTTTTCTCTTATAAAAGCTTCACATTTCTTGGTCTCACCATCTCACACCCTCAAGGCAACAGTGTTCACGAAGTTAACTGTCTAACACACAAATCCAGCTTACTGATCCTTAAAGTTCACAATAAAGTGCCTTATATATGAATATTTAAAGGTGATGGATATCAAAGACACTGCAATCCACAAAAACTCTATCTACATAGGTTTGATTTCCAGCTCATGGAAGTAATTTTACCTAAGTTCAATTTTACATTTTTAAATTCTAAATTCTCAATTCTGTCCTAAACCTCTAGTTTAAGTCTTGTCATTTTTGTCGAAGAGCTTATACTCATTTCACTTAATTAAAGACTGTCATTTTAGCACACCTTAACTGCACTGTTATCTTATTGTATGCAAACTTTTGTACACGTAATATATTACTCAGGATATTCACTCTTCAATTCACATTCACAACTGTTTTTTCCCCTCATAAATATAGATTTTTGAAACAGTTTGTTCTGAACTATTAATTCACCTGTTTAGCATGACCAAAAGGAGATGGCAACCAGGAGATGATGTAATGCCACCAGATTACATTGCTGTAATCGTACCAATATACAAAACATATTAAACATGCATCTTTATCTTTATATAGTTCTGTTCATGTTGATTTTTTATGTTAAGATGTTTTCATACTGAACATCTAAGGCAAACTTTTTTCCCCCCCGCAGTATTTGCTCATGATAATAATTAATAAAGGTATTCATGATGATATTTAGGCATTTCAAAGCACTTGGTGTGGTAACTACAGAACGATTAAGGTTAATCAAAGGTTGTGGACATGGCTAAACACTGAAAAAGTATTTTGAATTGAATGAAAGACATGTACTTGGTACTCAAATATCAAAATCCTTTTATAATATCACACTACTTCCTACATTGGAAATCAGTGTTGGAATTGACAAAAAGTATTTTGCATTAATGACCTTAAAGCTGCGGTAGGCGATTTATTTATTTATTTCAGATCATGTTTTGTTATATTTGTTGAAATGCTCTTTACATCTTGACAGCAATCAATTAATCAAATTCCCTGACACAAAAAAGAAAGTGTGGCAGGCCTGTAATGGTTGGCTGGCCTTCCTGCCAGTCTACCTGCTTACTTACCTGTCTACGTCTGAATGAACGTGTGTTTTCGGGGAGTGGCTTTGGCTCATTCCTGAAGGGAGGGATTTTTTTAGTTAGATTATTTCAAAATCTAGCTGCCTCTTGCTAGTTTCTCCAACATTGCCTTTCCCAGCTTTAAAGACAAATTAGCATTTTGGAAAGGTGAGATGCTCCTGAATAGCATCATTCAGGTTATAATGGGCACAGTAATTATAAGCATAGCAATATTATATATCATAAAATACCAAATAAAATTAATTAAACTGCCAAACTAACATTAAATGTCAAAAGTGGTATTTTATTTTGAAAAGTGCTGTATAAATAAAGTTTACTATTATTATTATTATTATCATTATTTGTATTGTTTAATTATTTATCCTTTTAATGCAAGTGGCTTTTACAGCAGTTTTCATTAATAGTGGTAATACTGAAAATGCTAAACATGTTTCATTGCATCTCCAGAATTTGCTGAAATATATATTTATTGAGGTTAAGAAAAGAAAAATCAAGAATATCAAGAACAAATGTCTGAACATATGAAGTTTACATGAATAAATGCATACATTGTGTTATGCCAAGTATACCAAGTATCAGTACAATGTAGCTTATTTGTTGCATTCTCAGTCTTTGTCTTGGTTATTAAACTATTTTA